TTTTTTTTTTTAAGGAAATCCTTTCGCTCCAGTTGAGTCAAAACAATTTTAGTAGTCAATATACGATAAATTAAAAAAAGAATCCCATAAAAATTCCTAAAATTAAATAATAAATAGTATATGAGGCATTAGTCGTTGAAATTTTGAAAATAAAAAAAAAATTAGTTAAATACAAAAATTAATTTGATTCTTTCAAATCAGCTGCTAGTAACCTGTCCGTGATTTGGTAACGCTGTACTTCGGTTGTTTACATTATCATTTGCACAATATAACCTTAACTACGTTTAAGTTTTTGCAGTCAGTGTAAATAAATAAATGAATTAGTTTGAATTTATTGAATGGTCTGAAGTTCGCGCGCTACGCAACGTTGCCAAATTTTTTGACTCCATTTTAACGTAGGTTGCTTGAGAATTTTTTGTGATTTTTAAATATTAATTTCCCAATAAATATTTCGGTAACTGATATATTTTATTGCAAAAAAGAAACCTGAATATTTCGAAAATCTAATTTTTAGTTTTTTTTTACTTCATCTAATCCATAACTGATAGTATATAATTCGAGAAATACTGCAAATGTTTGACTTTCTCGTAAGACTCTGAACAAATACTAACATTTAAAAATTTTATTTTTTCAAAAATTTGTCCGGTAAAGTATAATTTAAACCTCACTATTAGATAAATAAGGACCTTAACTATAGAAAAAAAGTTGAATTTACTCATAATCTAATATTTTTTATTTTACATTGGCGGCGAAAGGACCTCCTTAAATAAGTTCCATGAAATTAAAGTTAACAGTCACTTATCATTTTTTTATTTTATTTTAAAAAATAATTAAAAAAAAAAAAATAATATTTTTAATTTATAAAAATTTCTACATTTCAATTTTTAAAAATTTTTTTTACCATAATTTATTTGTTATGAAAATTCTTAAAATTATCGAATACGTGCTAAATTAATTTTCATATAATTTTATCATTAAATAAAACCTATCCAATTAAATGCCTTCCTTTCAAAATATGTTATTAAAAATTACAGAAGGCATCGCTTCACGCTCTCTGAAGAAAATAAAAATTCAAGGTTAAAATTTAAAAGACGCAACCGCTAAAATATTTTTTCCCGCATTTTTTCTGTCAAATTGTTCTTCAACACAAAATGGAATTTTAATTACTTAATAATTATTTTTAATTATTGTGACATTTCTTAGAATTGTCGCCACAATTTTTTATAAAACTGTCAGAAACTAATTTTTTAAATAATAATGTATGAAATAAATATAATAAATACTAACCTTGCTCTCGAGAACATTTACTATCGGTTATTTTAGTATCACTACTGCGACCAACAATAACTTCTTTTTTATTTGGTAAAAAAATAGGAGAATGCAAATTGTCTTCTGTATATATATAACAACTTGTTGTTTCTCCAGACATTTTACTACTTTGACACACGTGCAATCTGGAATGTTTATTTACAGTTTGCATTGCCGTGTTAACTCCAATACAGATATACTAGTCGGTATATCTATCAGCTGATTGCATGGAAAAGAAGAAAATAAACCATACCTTTTTTATCTTCAGCGATATATTATTACTGTGAAGCGTCAATGTCGGACTCGCTTGATCTGAGGATAACGCGGGAGATTTTGAATTTACAAATTGAAGCGAATAAGTATTTTCATTAAATTATAGTTGACTTGGAAATTTTTTTATTTGATATTGATTTTGTTTTTGTTAATTCAATCTATTCATTTGTTATTTCGTAAATAAGTTTTTTTTTTATTTCTACACGGAGAGAAAAATATGGAAATCATTCCTATAATTTTAATGAAATATTTTCCTGTACCATTTTAGGAGCGATTACTTAAATTATGGGAATTATACCCATAATTTGTAGGAAACGTTACTATAATTATGGGAATGGTTCCTATAATTATAGGAACGATACCTATAATTATAACTGTAATATCGGCATGATTACCATAATATATAGGAATGGTTCCTATAATATATAGGAATAGTTTCCATAATATTATGGGAACCATTTCCATAATATTATAGGAATGATGCCAATAATATTTTTCTACACAACTGTGGTATTTAATTAATTACTTTTCACTAGATTTATTTTTTTTTTGATTAAGTGATTCTTTTGTTATAATATATAAATTGATGAAAAAAGTTATCAGTCATAATATTCATTATTATTATCATTATGAAATTAATCAATTGCAGCAGTTGAAGTTATCAGTTATAATATTTATTATTATTTTCATTATGAAATTAATCAGTTGCAGCAGTTGATATTTTTTTAATCTTGAATGGTATACATGCTTGTAAATTAAAATAAAATTAATTAAAAAAAAAAGAAAAGTTAATTAAAAAAAAAATTTCTTAAATAAAATAAAATTTCCAATTGTTTTGAAATTCTAAATTTTCAAATGTTTTCGCGGCTCAGCGTATGTATTGTAAATAAATAATTTGCTTTCAAAATAAAATGAAATTGTAAAAATAAACAATGAATTTCTATATCTACTTTGCTTCTACAATTGTATAGTGAGAAAATATTCTTTTTATTAGAGAAACTTTAAAATTGTTATAATATTTTTCAATATTATTTAACACAATAATCACTGAGCTGGAATAAATAATTCAAGATTAACTACATACGTGAATAAAAATTATGAAAAAGAAATTTTTTCACTCTAGTGATAGATCAATTTTTATTTACAAAAAAAAATGTTATTAGCAAAAAAATACATAATAATTACTTTATATTTTTGAAGTGATTGCTTCATTATTAAGAGGATAAACTTTTTTCTATTATTATGTGCGTCATTCCCATAATATTATAGGAACCATTCCTATAATATTATAAGAACCATTCCCATAATATATTGAAGCTATTCCATTATTGTATAGGAACGTTTCCAATAAATTATGGGTATGGTTCCCATAATGAGTATAGGATTAATGCCTATAATGATAATTTTATTATAGGATCCATTCCCATAATTGTTGGAAAGATTCCTATAAATTTCTCTCCGTGTACATTAATCACTGACTGGTATCCTATTAATCACTTAAATTGATCGTTAAGTGTTCATAAATTGATCGCTGAGTGATTGCTAATTGTTCACTTAATGATTACACCGGCACACAAAAAAAAAGTTGTCAGTACTTTTGACCGGACCTACCTATCCTTATGTATTTTGACGCGCTGAATCCGAATCTGAAGTCAATTTTGCCCGTACCCCGTCAAAATTTGAGTAAAATCCAAAAAACCCAAACAAAGGCGAAAAATTGCGGAAAACTGCAGTCACAGCGATGAATAAAATTTTGTGGACCCAGATCAAGTATGATTTTTATGTACTTCAATTCACTGAATTTGAATCTGAACGTTAATTAGCCTATTGAGCCGTCAAAATTTGAAAAAATAGCAAAAAAACCCAAAAAAATTGCAATAAATCATAAAAAATCGAAATTATCGAAATAAAAAAATTTTTTAGATTCAGATTGAGTATGTTTTTTATGTACTTTGTTTCAGTGAATTTGAATCTGAAATCTTAATTAGAAAAAAATCTTAAAAAACCAAAAAAATCGGGAAAATTACAATTATAAATATGAGAAAAAAAAATCTATTACACGATTGTTAATGACTTAGGTGCATTTTCATAGATGTAATATGATCTTAGAATTAAAAAATTGACAAAATTTTTAAATCTTAAAAAATAGCATGTAAGGAGAAGGTAAAAAGTCATATTAACGAATTTTAGACTGTTGTTCGTTTGTATCGAATTTTTTTTTCTTTAATTGACATACGCAGTGGGTTCTTTTTACGTTTTCTGATTTCTTCTGGTGTTTCTCTTGTTACCTTCCAGCAAAAATCTGACATCATGTTTTGACACTCTAATTTACTTGATACCTACCTTTCCTAAAAATCTTGAAGACTAAAGCGAAGAACAAGAAAAACGATTTTATTAAGACCTAAATCAAATGAGCGGTAGGTATCGAGTAATTTAGAAGTGGTCACAAAAATATTGAAACAACCATTAAAATTATATCTAACTTCTATTATTTTCACAGTTCAAATAACAAAATATAATTCCGTTTTTTTTCTTTTTGATTGTTATTTCGATACTCTATAGAGAAATAAATGGAACGTTCGTATCGAATGCATGGAAGATTTAAAACGAACCCTTAAACGTATAAATAACAACTGGATACCTCTCAAATTTAACAACCTGTAATGAAGAGATTTATTTTTAGTAAAAAAAATATTTCTCTAATTATAATCAGACCTTGTAGCGTCCAGAACCACCAATTTTTAAAGTAACATCGATATCAATTAATAAAGCATCATCTCAATTAGTACTCGAGGGTAGTTTGAGTATCGTGATTCTCTAGCAGCTTTAAGGGTGTAGGTGGGGAAAAAATAATTGATCCAAAGTTCAATGGCTGAAAGTAAAAATCAATTGAGAGCATGTAAAGATAAATTTATTTATTTAATTATAAGAATATAAACAGTCGTTGTTTCTTATGTTAAAAAGACAAATTCATGCGTCACCTGTATTTTATGACGTTTTTACACTCGGACCTTTTACTTAGCCTAGAGTTAAGTTTAAAGTTCATGCCAGGAAAGAGAAACGACAGTTAGTAAACTAGCTTCTTCGTCTTGGTGTCTCAAGAGTTGGGCGCGAAAGTGGCTTAGCGTATCCCGTCTTGGATATTACATTATTTTGAATACATTATGTCTTTTCTCTTGGAATTATTATACATATAAATTACCTTTATTATGATAATGCTCTACTGCAGATTAGCTGTAACTATAATAGTAAATTAAGTGAAAAATAAAATTTTTTTCTTGGTTTCATTGTCATTTAGTGTTTCACTGGTTCAACTAATGAACAATCGCCTTAATTCTTTGGTAAATCAATCAAGAAGAGATTCTTAATCTTGTTCTTTCCGTGTAATGCAGTTATCTAATAAAAAATTTTTAAAAATTATATAATTATTGAAAAGATCCTTACCATTAGGTTTCGCTAATTCCGTTAAAGTATGCTGGCTAGTAAACTGTGGAATAGGCACGAATTCATTACTCTGAGTGACTTCATGTTTTTGCGTTTGTCCTTTACTCGCAGAACTAGTGACCAAGTAAATAACGGCGTCTTTTTTGCTCCAATTTTCTAAAGGTTTTGCAGCATATTCTTCCAATCGTTGCATCACATAGACACCGAAAAAGTCCATTACTTTTGCGCCGTAATATTTGGCAAGTACTTTAACTAAATCACAGGCAGCACGACGTGTGTCCACGTCACTACCTTCAACGTCCCTGCGGATGTACTCCTCCAGATTGTCTTCAAATAGTTCACTGTCCGATTCACGGAATTCAATATTAGGTGTTATCAAATTCGTACATATGTTCCGCAAGGTTTCTGGATTTTCAAAGAGCTCACGGTAGTGAGCGCGATCGGCGACGGTCACAAGGAATTGCAATGAATTAGATACTAGCTATAAACAAATCAAAATTACAAGTTTGTATTTAATATTAACAGAAAAAATATTCAATTTTTACAGATGAATTTATATTAAAATTACATATTTTTTCTGCAAATTAGACAGAATATTTTTTGTAGATTATACAGAATTTATCTGTTAACTTCACAGAAAATTTTCTGAAAAATTTACAAATTAAATTCTGTTAAATCTACAAGAGTATTATGTAATCGTTGCAGAGTAACTTTTCGAATTATAATTGAGTTTAATTATGAATAAAAAATGTAAATAATGATCCGTTAATAGTAAATTTCAAATTTTTATTACATGTGAATAAATAATTTTTTTTACTGATTATAAAAATAAAATTTATCTAAAAGTAGGGTAAATGCACCAGTTGTTGACCGGTCACCAATTAATTGACCGATGTATAAAAAAGTTAATTAATTAATATTTTACAACGGTTTTTTTTTTCTTAAAGTATTAAAATAAAAAAATATGGCATTTAATCATCATAATAAAAAATCATGCAATTAATTGCGCAGTGATTATAGATTTAAAAAAATATTCTGAGTTTGTTTACAACGCAACCAGCCATAAAGCGGTCAAAAATAACTACCGTACAATTGGAGAGTGAGTGCATTTCATCATTAATTTAGTGATATTTATCGACATAATATAAAATATT